TCCAATGGTCAAAGAAGAAGAAAGAGCGTGAGATATATAACAAACCCCCTCATAATTCCCATTTCTCTCGATTGCTTATAAAAAGTATATTCTCAAATTCCAAAATTTGATCTCGTCCAGATTCAGAGCCTCTTTATTTATTAGTTTCCATATTTCTAATTGATCTATCATTAGTTTTTCACAATAATTTTTGCAAAGAAAGGGAAAATATATACGCTGAAGTAATGAACTCGAATGCTCCGTCAACGAGTAACGGAGGACCTGGATCAGCCGACTCAACAGTACCCAGAAGGAATTCCAAGCGACCCAAATGTATTTTTCTCTTCCTACACAATCTGGTTTTCGTATCTTGATTATTCTTATTTATATTGAATGATATTTAAATTGGAAATTGATAGGTACTACGCAAACAATTGTCTAGAAAATTTAACTGGGTTTAAGGGTGGGGGCTTGTCTTTGAATCCTCGTTAATGTGTATATCGCTGGAAAGTGTATTAAGCATGTTATTTTATGTTACAAAGGGCACCCGCACAATATTTAAGCATGTGGGTAGTACTTGTGGATTCCACTAAATATGTGGATGAAAGTGGTTTGACTTTTATCATGTTTATAAACACTTGCCAAACATACTAGGCTACATAAATTTTTTCCAATTTTATAGGCATGTTTGCTGCCAACGGTTATATGATTTATCTAGCATCATCATTTACTCTTGGAGCATACATCTACTGGAATAAAGTGGCAAAAAGAGACTCACATATATAGCTTGTCCTAAAGTTATTGAGAACAAGATTAGTTTGTTGTCTACGAGTATATATATTATTTTTGTGGTAAATGGAAAAATCGAGAATAGATTAAATATAGAAAATTTAATATATGCTATTTTATTAGGAGGATGAACATGACCAGGAGGAATTAAAGTCTGTGGATGTCTTGTGTCAAGCATTTATTGTGGAAGAATTATTGCCTGGAAAACACGATGACTATCATATGATGCTAAGGTAACATTCTTTTTAGTTTTACTGTCTCCAAGATCCTTTATTTGATTTTGACATGGATGCAATGTACACACCTTTTTGGTCCAATAGCAGCAATTTGAATTACATGAGGGGTGAAAATTTTCATTATCCATTGCTTGGTGAATACCTTGAGATTTTCTGTTTAAGAAACTGAATTCTTTTTCCTTGAGCTCGTAAAGATTATAATCCTATCTATTTTAAGGTTTAGCACCATTGATACAGAAAACTTCTTGAAATGGGTGATATAGATTATGATTTGCTCGTGCTGCAGAGTTTGTATTTAATGAAGAAACTTCTAACGTAGAATTTTGTTTTGATTATAAATTATATTCTTGACAATAAGGCCAAAGACTTTAGTTCTTAAACAATAAGAGAACAACAGTCAGGTTTAAATAGTTTTTGTGTGATGATACAAGTTTTTGAAGGCAAGGAAATTTGATATTGAGAAAACAAAACAAATGTGGTCCGATATGATTCACTGGATGAAAGATTTTGGTTCTGACACAATTGTGGAGGTATTTGTGTTGCAGATCCTTTATTTGAGATATCCCATCATCAAATATTTGGGAAAAGATCGTAACTTTTGTATGCACCCGAATTTCGTATCACCTATATATTTTTGTTAGGAATTTGATTTCAAGGAGGGAGAGAAAGTCCTTAACTACTATCCACAAGGGCATCATGGAGTTGACAAGGAAGGGAGGCTTATTTATATCGAAAGACTTGGACTGGTAGATGAAACTAAGCTTTTGCAAGCCACAACAATGGACCGCTACGTTCAGTATCGCGTCCAGGAGTTCGAAATGACATTTATTGATAAGTTTCCAGCCTGCTCCATCGCAGCTAAAAAGTACATGGACCAGAGCACAACCATTTTTTACGTACAAGGAGTGGTTTGTGAGGCTGTTTATTGCAATTTAACATTTGGGTATTATTACTTTGCTTGTGATAAATTCAACAATTAGTTTTATTGAGGAGAACAATGCTGGCAACGCAGCAACAGCTCTCATGGCCCGTCTTACTCCAAAAGCTAAGGTTAAATTGATATTATCTTATGTTTGAGTTATCATAAATGGTTTGCCTTGTTTGTTTTTATCTGATAAATAATAGCTATTATGATGTAAGTTCTTAGAGATGGGAGGTGGCGTGAGGAAGATGTTGCGATTTTAGTCCGTAGTGATGTAATCAGTATTAAATTTGGCGATATTTATTTATAAGACCATGCTATAGATTTTATTAATGCTCTTTTTTTTAATATATCACTTTTAATTATTTATCAATTACAATTTGTAATGTAGTAAGTAATAAATTAATTGGTTTTTTAATGTAGAAATAATTATTGTTTAATTAAGAATTTGTTTTGATAATTTATATTTGATTTGTTTGCATGTAACGTGCAACGAGTGTGGATCATATATATATGTATAGATTTTAGTTTCTCATTTTAAAATCCAAATTTTATGAAGAAAAACTTTAATTATGGACAAAAAAATTGAATATAATACCAAATTCCATATAATAATATAATAAAAGATCCAATAACCCGAAATTCAAAAAATTTAGAATTTTAAAACTTCAATTTCTCAAGAATTCAACCATGGATAGGCTTTTAATACCACTTGTTAGAGATTTATGAAAAAGATTATCAACCAAAAACATTATCAAACCCTAATCACCTGCATAAATATACTCCATGTTGAAACCAGGAGAAGATTAATAGCGGAAACATACCTTGATCCATGGATGTCTGATTATTTGCCTGGATATGCTATGATCTTCCAATTGATTGGTGATCTTCTCTTCAATTTCACTCTTTGTTGATGGGGATTCGGAGAATCTGAAAAACACTATCAAAATGGGGATCATAACCCCATATAATAATAATAACTGAATAATCATTATCTTTTAGTTGTTTCAAATTGGTTCCTCATCAATCTAAAACAAACTTCCAGTCTCTACACTATATTTCCATGAAACCTAATACTCATTAGTCAAAATACAGCTTTAACTGATCACTTTAATTGACTAATATTCTTTAAATAATAGCACCACACGTAATATATTAAAATGTGTGGTGCTATTATTTAAAGAATATTAGTCAATTAAAGTGATCCAATAAAGATGAATTTTGACTAATGTGTATTAAGTTTTATGTAATTTTCGAATTGACTCATCATCAATTTAAAACAATATTCTGGTCTCTACACTATATTTTCATGAAACCTAATACCCATTATTCAAATACAGTTTTAACGGATCACTTTAATTAGCTAATATTTTTTAAATAATAGCACCACAAGTTTTAATATATTACGTGTGGCCCCATATATGTTAGAATTTTTCAACATTGAGCGCTTTTAATTCTGCCTCTATACCGATACATTCTCCAAAAAAATTGTAGAAGACTAATGACGACCCTCCCTAAGTGATCCATAACTACTACGCAACCGATTCTCCACTTTCTATCTTGTGGCGCCCATTATTGCCAAACTTAAACATATAAATATTGGAAGCTTATTAATCAATTTCACAATGGTTGGTTCCTCTATAATCTTGATTGCCCACCTCAATATATAGGCCATAACGTCGTCTAGGTCCACTTTTGAGTCTTTTTTTCCTTGACTTTCGCCTTAACCATAAGTTGGACCAAGTTTTTCACTCTCCAAATTTTTCATTCTTTTCAAATTAGGATAGGTACGATGATTTTTCCATCATCAATATTTCAAAAATGGTTACAAATCATGTAAAATACATTATTATTGATTGTGTTAAAGCTGATCAATAAATGTGACACATTCTCAATTAAACCGCAGACCAAGGGGGAGACAGGAACATCTCAAGGATATTAATGGATTATGATGTTTCAAAGATTAAGATAAAATATTGGACCAGACATCATGACTGATATATTCACACCATTAGCTAAAATTTGCAAAAGCTGAGGGAAAGCAAAAGCTGATTCCATTAATGATGCAAAGACAGACGGACACACAGACAAGACATCCACCAAGTCAAACAAAGTGCTGAGGTTTTCTTGAAGTAAATAACTAACTCAATGTCTCCATACTTGTCTTGAAATTTGAGGTAAAGAAAGTGGTTTGCGGTAGATCAACAGTGAATGTAAAATTTAATTAAATTTTATTACATGAATAGAAATATATAAAAGCAAGCTTGTAATGAAATTACTACTATTTGTTTGTTTGATATGATAATATAAGCAAATTATACATTCTCTCCTCCTCCATATTTATTTGGCTACACAAATCTCTTTAGATAGAGTGCTTAATTTATATAATTAACATAGCGAGATTCAGATAGAGTTGAGATGATCATAATTATAGGAACTGAAAATGGATTTTTAATGAACACTTGGATTAATGAGAAATCTTGATTAATCTTGATCATCAGGAGGTGGCTACGCAGTAATGCCCCCAAATCAACATGGAACTCCTTGGCTTGCTGCATGCCCTTGATAATTGAACAAATTCGCCATTTTTACCTTTGATGAGCAACATATTTTGATGATCATATGTTTTTGCACCATTGGCTAGGCATGCATTGAAGTTGGTCTTGCTCCGCCAGAAGTAGTTGTAAGAGTTGAAGGAGGTGGCTGGCGGTGGTGATGGGATCAGACGAGGCACCCGGCTGGGCCACGGTGGGAGTGATTGTGGAATCGGAAGGTCCTCAATTTCCTTCAAGTTGAAAATTTTGTTAGACCATTTTGGGTTCTTGTTAGCTGGCTTCATAAACTTCTTTATCGTCCCACCAATTGGCAATGATATTGAGTTTTGATCCATAACAAATTCCACCCCCTTTACTACCTTATTTTGCTTGACTCTCTCCTCGGCCGCATCCTCCTCCGCTGCGTCCTCCTCGTAGCCACCATCATTTATTTTCTCCTTAAAATCTTGATCGATATCTTCCATATCATCGAACGCTTCATCGAATTCTTGAACATTATTTTCCTCCGCCATTTCACCACGCGACTCTTGGGAAATAGGACTTCTCATCAAAGTTAAAACAAGTTGGCCGTTGCAGCGTTGAACATGGAAATTATTTCTTGAAGGGACAGAAACAGCTTCAAGAACAAGCCTACCATTTCTTCGGTGAGATTGTATTAGGGTTGAATTTCCATCAGCAATTGAAGGAATTGGGGGTGGGAAAGGCCCAGGTGGAGAATTCTTGTACTTGACAACGTCAAAATCTCCGAACGAGTCTGATTCTTTCACTTGGTGTTGCTGCTGCTGCTGCTGCTGTTTTTGTTCATATTCATGATCTTCTTTTTCTTCATCTGCATCACTGATCTCTGAAGCAGGGTACGAAGAAAAACAATAAGAACCAGTTTCTGATCCAAGACTTTCAGTGCAAATCTCCAGACTTTTTTCACTCAAAGAACTGGCTGATCTCTTCACAAGAGGGTGAATATAAGGTTCTGAGATCTTGGCAGAATCTTCACTCTTTTTTGATAAAATTGAACCCCAAACATCTATTGCAGAGGGTTTTTCAACACCACGATCCTCCTTCTCTTTCCTGCATTCTTCTTCACCGTCTGATGAGAAATCATGGAATGATTGATTACCAAGCTCCTGATCAGATGGCGATGAAATATTTTTGATACGGGAGAAAAACCCATTTTGTGCAAGCCATTTCTTAGAAGACATATCAGCAGATAGTGTTCTTCTTAAAGGTGCAGCTTTGCTTTTTTCACAATCTGAGCAAAGGATAGTTACTATGCCTTGATTCTCCATTAAAGGGACGTCTTCCTCTCGATGATCTGCAGCGTTTAAAGGGGAAGAAGAAAACACTAAGCTCTTGCTAACTGCAGCAATATTCTTTCCACTGCACGAAGTTAAATGAATAATCAGAACAAAGCAACAATAATATTTCAAAAAATTCCATAATTAGGCCATGCATGCTAATATATATATATGCATGTATACCTGAAGCAAACAACAGCATCCAAAAGAGAAGAGACTAGTGGATGACAGTTGCAAGCTAAGGGAGAAGAGAGGATGTTGAATGTATGTTATTGGAAGTTCTTTGGCTTAGTGCAAATGCCAAGGGAAGGGAGTGTCGGGTATTTGTAGGAGCTCGAAAAGCCTGTGGACCTTGTCTGTGGGACCCCCCTCCCACCTTACGCGGGATTTTAAGTCACCACATTTGTACGGCATGTACCGTACTAAAAATTTTCTTTTACCGAAAAATTAAAAAAAGGAAAATGAATTAAACTATTTGTACATTCTTTTTGTACAACAAGTTTGACATTCCCTGATATGTCAAAATCGTGGGCATTGATTTGAAAAGGTGTTATTCAAATCAATGATCATGATTTTGACACATCATGAATGTCAAACTTAATGTATAAAATGAATGTACATATAGCAGATTCGAAAATAAATAGACAATACATGAAATAAGATTAAGAACACAAAATTTACATAAGAATTCAAGACGGGAAAAAATCACAAACAAAATAAGAAAAGTTCACTATATCAAAGATGATTACAAGGTGTGCGATTATTCCAAATGATATGATATGATCCGAAACAAGCAAGGATGAAATACTAATATACATCATATATATAATAAAGCAGGTCATTTTTTTCCTCATAATTTTAGTTTCACCACATATATCTCACCGCGAACTTTCCGAGTAGGGTCAAACAGAATTCAGATCATCGTACTCTAAAAATTCCGATCGAAGTTAACAAATATACAAGTATTATAATTGAGATTATCTCGAGTAATTTTTTCAACCGTAGCTAGTTAACAATAATATTTTATTTGACTTCAGATTTTGGAGTCAGCTTGTGTTTAATAATGTGTAGAAGTATCAAAATATGTTGGACTTCCCAATACACTAAACGAGTCATGAGCCGTATCATGGATTGACTAATACTTGAGGGTCAGTTGAGCTTGGCAAAGCATAGCTAGGGCGAGTTAACGGACAGTGTCACTACATCAAGCTGAGTCGAGATAATTTTAGGCATGCTCAATTGGTACTCTTAGTGCTTGTTTAGGATTGCTTGTACGTAATGATGGCAAAAGGGTCGAGTATGGAGTAACTTGTCGAAACGAGCCGAACGGAAGCTCGTACGGCGAGCTCCCGAGCAAATCGTGGGTACAGTCCACAAGCCTAAAGTTACAAAAAAGTGACCAAACATCATTTTGTAGCTTAAAAAAAGAGGAAATTACACCTAAAAAGGTTTTTAGATTTCCATTTTCATAAATAAGGAATCAAGTTTAATTAAAAAAAGGAAAATGAATTAAACTAGTTATACATTCTTTTTGTACAACGAGTTTGACATTCCTTGATGTGTCAAAATCATGGGCATTGATTTGAAAAGGTGTTATTCAACTCAATGATCATGATTTTGACACATCATGAATGTCAAACTTAATGTATAAAATGAATGTACATGTAGCAGATTTGAAGGAAAATGGACAATATATGAAATAAGATTAAGAACACAAAATTTACATAAGAATTCAAAACGGGAAAAAATCACGAACAAAGTAAGAAAAATTCACTATATCAAAGATGATTACAAGGTGTGCGACTATTCCAAATGATACGATATGATCCGAAACAAGCAGGGATGAAATACTAATATACATCATATATATAATAAAGCAGGTCAATTTTTTCCTCATAATTTTAGTTTCACCAATCACCACATATATCTCACCGCGAACTTTTCGAGTAGGGTCAAACAGAATTCAGATCATCGTACTCTAAAAATTCCGATCAAAGTTGACAAATATACAAGTATTATAATTGAGATTATCTCGAGTAATTTTTTCAACCGTAGCTAGTTAACAATATTGTTCAATATTTTATTTGACTTCAGATTTTGGAGTCAGCTTGTGTTTAATAATGTGTAGAAGTATCAAAATATGTTGGACTTTCCAATACACTAAACGAGTCATGAGCCGTATCATGGATTGACTAATACTTGAGAGTCAGTTGAGCTTGGCAAAGCATAGCTAGGGCGAGTTAACGGACAGTGTCACTACATCAAGCTGAGTCGAGATAATTTTAGGCATGCTCAATTGGTACTCTTAGTGCTTGTTTAGGATTGCTTGTACGTAGTGATGGCAAAATGGTCGAGTATGGAGTAACTTGTCGAAACGAGCCGAACGGAAGCTCGTACGGCGAGCTAGCGGGCAAATCGTGGGTACAGTCCACAAGCCTAAAGTTACAAAAAAGTGACCAAACAACATTTTGTAGCTTAAAAAAAAGCGAGCTAATGGGCTCAGCTCGTGAACTCACAAGCTCGTGGGCCTAGCCGAGACTGAGCTAGCTCAACTTTGCCCATTACCATAACTACTTTTACATGGTTATAAGCTGTAGGTCATATGAGTTGTGTAGATACAGAAGTAAGTAGTGAGTCTTAAAATATGTTGATAAAAAACATGTTTGACCTACGACTAAAGCTAAACCCATTTTTGAAAGCCAATGGAAACGTAGTTTTTCTATTCAAATCCAAAGTTTCCAAGGCTAAGGCTTTAGTTCAAATTCCCGAATCTTATTAGTTTATAAGAAGAAAATTAAGGGCATCTTCCTAGTAAGTAGATCTTTCGATCGCTGTATGGAATAATGTTAGCAGTGTAGGGCATATCATTTCTCTAAGAGAGAATAAGGTTCATTAGGCGGCCAATTGTTGCGTCCTCATCGCTACCTTACGCGACATTTATGATTCGGCAAGAAAATAAAAAATAAAAAAATGCAAATGTCTATTAGTCTTTTAACAAAAAAGAAGAGAAACGTCAAAAACTTCTATTTTTTTAACTTATTTTGTATTATTCAATTCAATATGTACATGGATGATTCTTTCTTTTTTTTTAATGTTAATAGTGTTTTTTAGCCATCCAATGATGATGATCGCCTTTGAAAGTGATTCCTTTGCTTCCTTCTTAAGCCATTTTCATCCATCATCATCCTTTTTATGCTTTACCTAATTGTAAATTGCTTGGAAAAAATATTCTAGTGATGTTAGCCTTATCTTGTTTGCCGTGTGCTCTCGCTTTCAACTTCCTTTTTAATACTATATCGTCACATGATAATCTAGATATGGTATACATGATTTCGCCGTGATTGCATAGAGATATTTAGTTTGAGCACGTTGATACGTTGGATTGGGATAGGATTGAAGAAGTTATGTGCATGTGCATGTGCATGAGAGATACACACTAAAGTCCTCGACTCATAACAAATAAACAAAATATACTAAAGCTAAGGGTAATTAGCACATAACGTTCACCCCTTTCATTGTTATTGTGGAAAGGTCTTTACCTTTCATTTTTTTTTTTTTTTTTGGCATTTTTCACTCTTATTTCTACATTTTATTGCGCAAAATGTCATTTTCATCTATTTCGATTAAAAATTGTGAAATGAAGAATATATCATTCTCTTTAAATAAAATAAAAATAAAAATAAAAAAATTGCAATCATACTCCCAAAATTTTTTAAAAAGTGCAAGTGAGTCTCAAATAAATTATTAAAAGGATAATTAGTACATAATGTCCCTACCTTTCACCGTTATTGTGAAAAACATCCATATCTTCTTCTTTTTTGTTGTATTTTCACCCTTAATTAAACAATTGATTGTGCATACCATCACATCAAATTTCTTAATAAAAAATTGTGAAATATTTTAAATTAAAAATATTTTATTAATTTATAATCTTTAATAATTTATTTGAGACTCATTTACACTTTTTAATTTTTTTAATTTTAAATAAATTTTATTGGGACTCGTTTGTACTTTAAAAAAAATTGGGACTATGATTGCAATTAATTCTTTAATTTTTTTATTTAAATAGGAGGGTATATTCATCATTTCACATATTTTTATTGATAAATTGGATGAAAGTTGATAGAAATGATGGTTCGGGCAATTAAATGTGAATTAATGATGAAAATGTCACAAAAAATAAAAAAGTAAGGATTTTTTTTGCAATAATAGTGAAAGGTAGGGACATTATGTACTAATTACCCTTTTAGTAATTTATTTAAGACTTATTTGTGCTTTTCAATAGAATTTAGGACTGTGATTGCAATTAATTTTTTCTTTTTTCTTTTGTTTTATTTAAAGAGAATGATATATTCGTCATTTTATAATTTTTAATTGAAAAAATGAATTAAAAGAGCCTTTTGCCCAATGAATGGTGAAAATAATGGTGAAAATGTCAAAAAAAAAAAAAATAGAGGTAATGACGTTTTTCACAATAACAGTGTAAGTTGGGGATGTTCTATGCTAATTATCCCTAAAAGTAATATTCATTTATTCAATACACGCGGACAAAAAGTAGTGTTCGATATTAAGTATCAGTTTTACTATCAAATCACATTTTATTTTATGTACTAAACATCATATATGATAATCTAGATATGACATACATGTTTTCGTCGTGCTTATGTAGATATATTTAATATGAGCATGTCGATGTGTTGGAGGGCCTGGTTATGTTTCGTCGTACTTATGTAGATATATTTAATATGAGCATGTCGATGTGTTGGAGGGCCTGGTTATGTGATGTGCAAGAGAGATAAATGCTGAAATTCTTCAGTGGAACAAAGTATATAAAAAGTAGCCCACCCCTGTTAGAGCTAATGAAATTTTCCATTTAAAGTATTAAATTCTTAAAAAAAAAAAAAAAATTAAACAGGCCAAGGTGGGGCACCTGTTACCCATCACTACCCCTGGGCAAAATTCTCCACAGGTACTCTCTCCGAATACCCGATTAAGCCTGTAACCCCCTTCCCATGTGTTGTCGGGTTTTTTTGTCATCCCTGTGTGGGGCCATTGCCCCCATTTACTACTCCATTTAATTTTTTCTTAAAGTTTTTAATAATTCATTTTATTAGCATCATTCATTATACTAAGATAATAATATATTTTTTAATCTTTACTTATTTTTAAAATTAAATTATTCAAATATATTCGATAAACTAAGGTTTTTATTGTTTGTCATATTTTTTATATAATTTCAGTTGTCATTTTCTATTAGAATTAATGAAATTTCGTGAAATTTTTCATTTAAAGTATTAAATTCCACTTAAAATATTGAATTTAAAAAGAATACTAAACGGGGTAGGGCGGGGCACCAGTTACCCGTCCCCGTCTCGAATACCCGATTAAGAGGGCGATATCGGATTTATCAAATTTTTTTACCCTTCCTAATTAAAAGTAAGGGTAATTAGCACATAACCTCCTCACCTTTCACTGTTATTATGGAAAATGTCCATACCTTTCATTTTTTTTTTTTTTTTTTGCATTTTCATTCTTATCTTCACCTTTCATTGTGCAAGATGTCATTTTTATCAATTTTCTCAATTAAAAATTGTGAAATGACGAAAATACTATTCTATTTAAATAAAACAAAAGAAAAAAGAAAAAAACTAATTAAAATATAGTCCCAACTTTTTTGAAAAGATCAAATGTGTCCCAAATAAATTACTAAAAGGATAATTAGCATATAATGTTCATACCTTTCACTATTATTGCGAAAAATATCATTACCTTTTTTTTTTGGCATTTTCTCCCTTAATTATAATTTGATATCGCAAACCATCATTTCTATCTATTTCTCAATAAAGAACTGTGAAATGATGAATACATCATCATGTTTAAATAAAAAAAATATTTTTTAATTTATTTGGAATTTGTTTGCACTTTTCATAAAAAAAATTAATTTTTAATAATTTATTGGGGATTCGTTTGCACTTTTTAAAAAAATTGGTACAATTGTTACTATTAATTCTTTCGCTTTTTTTATTTAAATATGAGGGTATATTCGCCATCCCACTATTTTTTATTGAGAAATTGGATGAAAATTGATAGAAATAATGATTTGCGCTATCAAATTATAACTAAGAGATAAAATACCCAAAAAAAATTAAAATGTATGCTGTTTTTCGCAATAACGGTAAAAGGTAGGGACATTATATCATAATTACATTTTTAGTAATTTATTTACGACTCATTTGCCCTTTTTTAAAAAAGATTGAGACTACATTTGCAATTAGTGTTTTTCTTTTGTTTTATTTAAAGGAAAAGATATTTTCGTCATTCAAAATCTTTAATTGAGAAAATGGATAAAAAAAAATTTTTGCAATGAAATGTGGAAATAGGGATGAAAATGTCAAAAAAGAAAGGTATGAACGTTTTCAACAATAACGATGAAAAATAGAGACGTTGTGTGCTAATTATTCTTAAAAGTAATATCCATTTGTCTAATGCGGCGCCTAGAATGTAGGGTTAGGTGTTGGGTGTGGATTCCATTAACTAATGATGTGGAGTTGAAGAGAGCCAAATATATGAGAATGGCGGAGACCTCGGAAGGCAAGTGCACGACCCTAGATGCCTATTGTCTGCCTTTAAAGCAATGTCGGTCAATCCGATGCCGTCTTCACCTACTGTCTTCAAAATTAAAATTAGGCTTTTTTGTTTCTTATTTTTTCTTTATTAATGACTTGAATTGCATAATGAAAAAATATTCTTGAGATTCTCAAATCACCACTTGTGCGATTCGGGATTTTTTATTGTCGCTCTAGTGATACTTTTTCATCACCAATGCATTTGGCTTTGTCTAGTTTATTTTTGCTGTAAATTATGGTAGATGTCAAAGCAATAACAAACAACTTTTCATTAGTACAATTTGATCTGATTAAGAGCCACATTCTGATCTGATTAAGATTTTAAAAAAATTAAGCACACGGATTTCAATATTGATTTTCTCAAACGAGCTACCATCTTGCAGGGCATGTTAGGAGATAAAATTTCACATTAAATAAAGATGAAAGCATGGACCAATTTATAAGGATTTGAAATACTACTCTTAATACAATTGACATTTTAAGATGGAATCAAAAATCTTAACATGTAGTGTTTTGGAAAAAAATTCTATCTAGTTTTCAAGAGAGAAAAGGAGAGGAAGAAAACAAGAATACTGAGGTTTATGGCCAAGGAGGGGGTTAATTACTCCAATAGTCACTGAACTTTATCGAAAGTTTTCATCAAGTCACTGAATTTTAAAAACTACGTGGTTAGTTATTGAACTTTCGAAACTGCAACCACATCCATCACTAAACTTTAAAAATCATCACATTCGTCACTGAACTTTACAAAAAATTTCCCAAATTGTCATTGAATCAGTGACCATTTGGAAACTTTTTGCAAAGTTTAGTGACCCCATAGAAATCTTTTGCAAAGTTCAGTGATGAATGAAGTGATTTTTAAAGTTCAGTGATGGATGAGGTTGCAGTTTCAAAAGTTCAGTGACTAACCTATCTCTTCGAATATCCCTTACAACT